AATCAAATTTGTGAATTCGGTAGTTCCCAGTCCTTGTGAGACACAGCCATATAATAAAAGTCCGTATCAACCCTAATGCATAATAACATTAATAATAGAGCCCCAGCAAACATACTAATTCTATTGCAGAAAACGTCTAATATTCTTTCATACAATACATGATCATTTACTTTTGGAAAGTTTTATGTTAACAGTTTGAGACTACTGAATACAGAACAATTCCTTCTCTCAGATTGGAGTAAAGCTGTGAATGAGATACCAAAATAGCTCTATAACTGATCTCCCAAAGAGAGCTTTCAAAAAAGTCCTTTGCAAATTACTTTTTGACATCTTAGAAAAAGAAGATAACTATATTCAAAGCCCCATGATAGTTAGAAAAGTAGGTACATAGACATACCTTCTAAGTTAAAATCTCTTCATATCTTTTTCAGTGTGACTCTGTAACTGTGTGACTGAGTGTGTAAATAACAGCTCTTTGTCCTAGGATACTAGTCGATTTATGTTATTCGGGTACTTGTCTTGCCCCGACACAATTAGCTGTCTAGCTATTTGTGGACCAAATGATCCCACTGTTATTTTATGTAAAAAGATCCAAGAATAAAAATTATTGTTGTTGTTGTTCTTGTTGTTAAAAGTGCCATAAAGTGAAATAAGTTTTATTGTAGTTGCATTCTCTTTGCACTGTTGAGAATTTACCAAGGCATATTTCAAAACGACAAAAGTAAGTAAGGGAATCTCAATGGTGTTATTTTAATTTGTTTGTTGTGTCAGAGATTGAACTCAAAACCAATTGGTAGTTTGTTCAGAAACACAGAACACTGAAGAACAACTTTAAAAAATTTGTATTATTTCAACTTTTGTCTAATTATTAGATGTCAGTGAACTCTAAACCTGTCCAATTGTTTAGATTTTGGAAAGTTGCATTTATTTCAACTCGTGTGTTTTGTCAGAGATTGAACTCTAAATCAATTGTTAGTTTATTCAGGAACACAGAACACTGAAGAACAATTTTGGAAAGTCAACTTATTTTCCTTTTGTCTTGTTATTAGATGTTTGCAAACTCTAAGCCAATTGTTTAGATTTTGGAAACTTGTGTTATTTTAACTCCTGTGTTGTGTCAGAGATTGAACTCCAAACCAATTGCCAGTTTGTTCAGGAACACAGGACACTGAGAACATTATCAAAAACTCAAGTTAATTCAACTTTTGTCTTGTTATTTTCTAAGCGATTGAACAGTAAACCAATCATTAAAAGATTTATGAGTGTATTTCTTGTGGTTGTAAACTGATAATTTTGTGCTTGTGTGCTTTTGCTTATAACGACAATAAGATGAAATTTAAATTCTCTGCCCAGAATGACTTACGGTGTCTACAGTGTCCTTTCACCTGGAAAGAAAAAATTGATAATGCTTCTTTCATCAAACTTTAGACCTTAGAAACCTGCAATTTCATTGCCATTCCTCGAACATATGTTCTCTTCCCCAAACCCCATGCCTAATTATGAGCGGGAATAGGTACTGAGGAACTGGTGTGAGTGAGCCCTCCCTACCTCTTCCCAGTTTACAGCTGCTACACAGGCCTTTACAATATAACAAAGGTACATATTTTTAAATGCACTTAGAAACTGGATTGAATATAAAAATAAAATCTGATTACAACGAGTCTAACTGTCTGGCAAGTTGTAAATTTCAACAAATTGAGTAATAACATGTAGCTTACTCTAATATTTTCACTTCTGGTTTCATACACATCTTGAAAATCCTTTAAATTCAGCAGTCCAATTTCAAGGGCCTTGAAAGTACTTGAAATTGGTTTTTGGTCCTTTTGATTTTTTATGGAATGGGATTGGAAAATATGAACACGTACAAGTTTAAAGTAAATGAAAGCCAGTGAAAACAAATGGTATACACTTGTTGAAATGTTCTCGTTGTCTGGCATTTCTGCATGTGCATGTATTTAATATGCCCAAAACATAGCTTTGAACACAAAAGAAAAGCTCTTGCATGAAATTTCAAAGTAGGGTACAGGAACATCTTTGAATTTTTGACCTAAAAAAGTGTACAAACACTGTCACTCATTTCTCAGGCAAACAGTATTACTGCAAACCATTTGTACAATTGTCACTAAAAGCAATATATAAGAATTTCAATTCTGATTTTTTTTTTTTGACCATCATATTGAAAAGTGTTCATATCTGGAGAGATATTATAACTCCATACTTCCACTCTGAGTGATATCCAGACAATTACTTCTTCCAATGTCCAGAATTAAGTTTTCAATGTAAGTTATGGTAAATTTAATCCAAACACTTATTATCACCTGACTTCCACCTCATATTTTTCCTTTCAGTTTTAACTTCCATTACCTCTTACAAGTGGACTTTTAAGCCACACACGWACGCATTGCGGGCCTATTTTTTYYKKTKGYTAAATGTTACTTTAGACATTTTACGGAGATTTGAGTTAACTAATTGCTCCTACAACCTGCAAGTTGCAGTTTCCAGGTGCCTGTATTACAAAGACTTCCGTAGTCCAAACAATAGAGAATATCCTCTCTTGAGTCCAAAAGAGAGCTACTTTTTGAACTTCTCTGTACCTGTCTCAATTTTCAGAAACCATGTTCGCCTTTGCTGCAGTTTGGGGAGTGTCTCTAGTTCTGTTGTTCGTGCTGATGAGAAGATTGCAAGGCCAGAAACCAAAGTTCCAAAAACATTACAACCATGACAACGGACGCCCGCTTGGTACTATGGAAGAAATGTTAAGATATGCCCATGACACGACTGGAAGTCTTATTCTTGCTAACACTTTGGTTCTGCGTTCCAAGAAGGCAATTACAGGAGTGATGGTGAGAAAAGCAATGGAACAACTCATGAGAAGACATCCTATTTTGCGCATGTGCTATCAAAAGAACCAAAGCGAAGAATATCACCTGCAGAAGATGACAACTCTGAAGGTGGATCTACGAGAGCGTGATACCACCGACTGGAAAAGTGTCATGGAAGAGAGCTTGCTGGAGAAATTTGATGGTAAAAATGGCCCACTTTGGAGAGTCCTTTTTCTACCAAAGGCAAGATACCAGTCAAACGCAGATGAAGAAATTCCAGAAATAACCTCACATCCGCATGAGTGCATTTGCATAATTAACTTTCATCACATCGTGGTAGATGGGCCATCCTATTCGAGAATGTTTGCAGAGTTTAAGACCTATTTGGGCAACGCACTCAACAATGAAGAACCTCAAGTGTCCTCTATGCCGATGTTGCCACCAATAGATTTGTACCTTGATGAAGCGGCCCCGTCTAGGTGGTACCATCCTCTTATGCCTCTGGTATTCAGACTTCTGTGCATGATACCCGGATTCACAGCACGGATGATGGGAGAATTCGCTGCGAAAGGTAATGCCTTTACCAGAAAATATGGCGTCGAAATCCAACGATCTCCACACATTCAACCAAAGACCAAGATTATTCCCTTGGAGTTTACAAAATCAGAGACCTCAAAGTTTCTGAAGAAGTGCAAGGAGTATCAGACAACAGTACAGGGGGCTGTTCAGACAGCAGCCGGTGTTTCCATGGTCACCATGTTAGAGGACCAGACGCTAGAAGTCCCCACCCGAGTCACAGTCAATATCAGACCCTTCTTGAAGTCTAAAGTACCAAATGACTATGCCGGAGCGTACTATCTTCGCGTGGAATGTGAAAACCTTTTGGTGTCTACTCCAGATCCTGGTATGTTTTGGAGTATGGCTAAACAAGCCTCAAATGACATTCATACTCAGCTGAAAAACAACGAACCCGTCAAGAAATGGTCAGTCATGAAGTTTCTGTTCCCAGTGGTATTAGGAATGATGAATAATGAACTTAAAGAAGAAGATGATGGATGTGGTGGACGCCGCCGACAGCTGCTGGTTTTCACTAATCTGGGGTACGCAAAGTTTCTCGACGGCTCTCCAGAAGATGACGTCATCCTTCGAGCAAGGTTCGGTGGTTGTGCCGAGCACCACCAAGGAACCATTTTTGATAACAACATAGTGACATTTAATGGAAAGTTATTTTGGACAGTGATACATTACAGTAACATTGTAAGTGACGTTGTGGCCCAGAAGTATGCCAGCCTGGTAAAAGAAACTATATTAAAAGCGATGGAAATATAAAGACCTACTCATGGCAAGCAAACAGAGCGCTCCATGCAGGTCCGTGATATCAAACTTTTCCCTTCATTTGTTCAACATCAAACTTTTCAGTTTAAATACATTCAACTGCAGGGGCGAGAGCCTGTAGGCCGTACTTTTACATACTTTTATCGTTCTTTTACATTTTAAGATTCTGCGTGATCGATGAATTTTACTTTGACCAAAAAGATCGCACGAAGGTCTTGGAGAATTCTGCATTCAGCTTTGTTCTGTTGATCATATTCACATCAGTCTCAGACACGTGAACTCTACTCTTGGTTCATAGCGCGGCAGTATGTTGAAATTCAGGCTTGTATTTCTCAATGCTTCCTCCACTGTGTAATCGTAACATTCTTTTAAGATTCTGAGGCTTTGTCGGAAAAGCAAAAAATGTTATGATAAAACCATTTTTTTTAGGCTAGAGGGTATATGCAGAAGTATTATCATGGTTACGTGGGATGCAACAATAATGTTACATTTTTAGTTTTCGACCCTTTTTCTTACTATTGTGCTTTTTGTTAACAAATCTTTCTTGTTATTTTGAGAAATGTTATTTAGGGCCTCCTCCAATAACGGTTATATTAGTTACTGGTCTGTATGAATTTCTGCGTCAGAAAAAAAGAGGAATTTACAAATAGAAGGCTCCATTTTGGGTGCGTGCTTTTGCTATTAAGGAGTTAGTTTTATTCATCACTGATTAAAATTACTTTGTCGAACTTTTTCCCTTTGTATTCACTTTTAGGCACACCCAGCCTGTATCTGTTGAGTTTTTAGTAAGCAATCTTTAGTCTTCGTGTTGCCAAAGCCCTTTTTTGCGCCATTTACCACTACAAAAGTATATAATAATATGCCAATTTAATTCAAAGGGATGGCTTTTATTTTTAACCGGACGTTTCCGTCAGTAAACTGCGTAAAAGTCAATTTTGACGCTGAGGAATCTTAGGGGGAATGCCATGGTATCTGGGTTTCTGTCTAAATCATGATGGACGATGTGCGAGGCGCTTCTCTCCTAATACATAGATTACTTCA